GTAAGATGATAAGCCATTGTTTCGGGAAACAATAAGAATCTAGAGTTGACTAAAGGCTATTAATGCTGGTTGTGGGGTCATTGAATAGATCAAACGCAAAGTCATAAAAAATTGGTATTCTGACCGGTGGTTTTATCACTTCGTGTTGAACAAGGCCGTATGACATGAAACAAAGTAAATAAAAGGACTAAATATATTCTTTCTGAGTGCGAATTTCCAATTTCTTAATAACAATCATCACTGAATTTAACATTTAGAGGAATGTAAATCTTATAAATTGAGTCGATGATAATCAAGGCTATAGATTACTGTATTTAAATATAACTTAGCAGACTCTTTGAATTTTTATTTTCAGTCAATCAGTCAGTAACCACGTAGAACCTCGCACGTACGCACATCAGTTCGAGTTGCCATGCCACATTAGCACAGAAATGCAGTTGTCGATTCAAATCCCGTTGTGGTAGAATTAGTAAGAGTATAAGCAGTAATCGGAAAGATTAGGGTTTCAAGATGTTGTCACGCAGTATAATTCAGTGAAATAAATTTGGAAAGAGGGAAAAAAGCACATGAAGAGTTGAGAAGTTTAGAATTTGGGAAAACACAAGGAGTGGATGCACCTACGACATTGCAAACGATTTTGAGCCATGTCATTCAAGGTCTCTAACCATCGGTTGCTATCATCTCGCGGATCCCAATCAGGTAGTCTACACCTACCAAGATGGCTCAGACCACTTGTCAGTGATTTCATGGACTTGTGCCATGTTTTGTTCTAGCCACCCCTAGCTTTCTTCCAATCTACTCTTATACCACTGAACATCACACGTCGAGGCAGTCGTTGGTGGGGCATACGTAACATGTGTCCCAGCCATCTCAACTGATCAGGTTTCACTACTTCATCAATTGATTTGCCATCCTTACCGAGTACCCGTTTCCTAACAACTGCGTTGCTTACTCGATAGTCCTAGGATATACGAGCAATGTTTTGAAGACACCTATGATCAAATACTAGTAACCTACGAATATTCTCTACTCTTATCAGCCATGTTTCACAGACGTAAAGTAAGACGAAATGAACTGCTGCGCAGTAATCACGTCCTTTGGTTGATAAACGGATATCTCGCCTACGCCATAAATGACGCAAGTTGGCAAAAGCTAGTCGACTCTTCTGTATCCGTGCTGAGATTTCGTCACACACCAAACCACAAGGGCTGATGAGACTTCCAAGATAAGTGAAGCGGTCGACAAGCTCAACTACTTCACTCCCTATCATTAGTTCGGGTGTAAATACAGCCCGATCCTGAAGCAATATTTAGCATTTCGAGGGAGAGAATCGCATCCCGAACATGCTTGCATTGTTGCTTAGAGTGGTCAGAAGACTCTGCATTTTGTCAGCGTTTTCACCAAATAAAACTATGTCATCAGCATATTCTAAGTCAATAAGTGAACCTCCCGGTAGAAGTTCAACCCCTGGAAATTTAGATGAAGAGAGTGTTATCTCTAAAAGTACGTCGACGACAAATTTGAACAAGAATGGAGAGAGTAGACAGCCTCGACGAACATCACTTGAGGTAATCAATTCTGATGACAGTTCGCCATAAGCTCTCACTCTACCAGTTGTGTTCGAGTAGAGAGGCTGTATAAGGTTAATGTACTTTTTTGGTACTCCGTTCAGTGACAAACACTGCCATAGAACCTCACGATCGACAGAGTTGAATGCTGCTTTAAGGTCGAGAAATACTACCATTGTGGGGCGTCTGAATGTGCGTCTGTGATCTAGAACCTGACGTAGTCTGAATATCTGATCTATACAACCACGTCCAGGTCGAAAACCGGCCTGATTTTCTCTTGTCTGTTCTTCACGAGCTTTAGTTATGCGTCTCTTCTGATATAACACTATGAAATCTTGACAACAGCCATCGAGATATCAAGCAAACGACACAGAGAACAAAGAAGAAACACCTTAAAGAAAAAACTAATCAATATCTCAAAACCACCCGTGGATGAAAACAAAAACAACTGCGTGGTCAATTTGTCAAAACAACCACTAACAAATACGGAAGAACACCTACTCCAAAAAGGATTAAACTACAATACAAGCGATGCCTCAAATCTGGAATTCTTCGCAGCACTGGAGTCATCAATCAAAACTTCCGGAATCAGTGAAGAAACACAACAAGAAATAAGTTTAGTTAGGCGTCAAAGCATTATTGAAGTTAATATTTTAGATACTATATTTATCAAACTGATTCCTCTGTGATTATCACAAGAGGACTTTTGTCCTTTCTTATAGACTGGCACAATCAATGATTGAGACCAGTCAGATGGGATTACATCCAGTTTCCAGATTCTACCTAAGACCTCAGTTGATTTCACTGCTAATACTGGACCACCATCCTTAAAAATCTCAGGGGTAAACCTGTCAAGACCTGCTGCTCTCCCTCGCTTCAGATTTCCTATTGCTTTTTCAACTTCGTAAAGAGTCGAAGAATTTACATTAACTTACCATTCAGGTTGACTGAAGATCGTGCAAAATCGAAGTGTGGCTGAAGGCCAGTTGAACTGATCCTTAAAGTGTTCAGCCCATCGATCCAATCTCCTGGATTGAGAATGTATAATATGTCCATCTTTCTCTGAGAGTGTTTCGCTAACAGTCGGGTTCCTAATACCGGTTTCCTTAACAAGTCTGAACAACTGTGCTATTACCTATTGCCGCTGTCTTTTCCATCTCACTTGCTTTCGCTACCCACCACGGTTCACGATCATTGCGTAGACTTCTTGTCAGCTTGCGCTTAAGCTGACTCCACTCTTCATTATGTTCAGAGCCAGGTGGAATGAGTTTTCGAGCATCTATCAGTGCGATAGATGCTGATGAGATCCAGTGTTGCTCTCTAACCTTACGGGTTACCGTACTGGCAGATATCACTGCTGTTTCCACAGCTTTACGGATATCATTCCATGCTGCCTCAGAGTGGGCATCACATACATGGCTGCCTAACTGTTTTCCTAGTTGTTCCTGAAATATACTCTTAGCTTGACTATCATTAAGTAGGCCCCTAAGAGGTTTCCTTGCAGCGTCTTTCCTACGTCCAGTAATACGCAAGCAAATACGCGCTCGCACTAGAGCATGATCTGAATCTAAGCATGTGCTCCAGAATGAGCGACAGTCTTCTATCGCGCCACTCCATCGGTGGCTGATAGCGATGTGATCTATTTGGGTCCAACGTTGGGACGAATTAGGGGGTCTCCATGTTAAAATGCCTTTCCTTATGCTTAAAGTTAGTATTTGCAAGGAACAGGCGGTTATCTGAGCTGCAACAGACGGTCGCCATTATCTGTTCTTTGAACCACGACACCATAAGATCCACCCAGGTGTCTTTCTCTTTCGCTTAGTTTACCTACTTGAGCATTAAAGTCACCGGCCACTATTACTACATCAGAGCGCCTAGCTTTTCGGAGAAGGTCGGAGAGCTTTCTGTAAAACTCATCTTTTACATCATCTGAGCTGCAATCATTGGGAGAGTAGGCAGAGACGACGAATAGGCAACGACAAGTGACCTTATCTTTACGGATCCTTACTGTTCCGTTCAGTCGGAGAGCGCACAAATGACAGTCTACTGGGATCCACTCTAAGAGAGCTAGTTCTGCCCTAGGACTCAATACTATACCTAAGCCGGCGAAGCCACGGGAAGCAGAATCAGGCCTTTCAGATACACGAAGTGTGAATCGAATCGGTTCTTTATTTCGGCATGGTGAGGTCAAATGAATGACGCTTATCGGATCCTGTATGCGCGTTTCGATGGCGCGAGATTCTAAAGTCCTAGCTAAGGAAGCTTGCTGTCTTATTTGGCACAGTGTTCGGACGTTAAAAGCTCCAACGTGTAGTTTAGAGCGTGGTTTCAGGAGTGAGAAGTGATAAAGAGACGTGAAAAAGGTTAGTCGTGGAGATGAGAAAGGTATCGGGAGGTGTAGGAAGGATTCGAATGTGACCGACTTCGGCTCGTGTGCTGTTATGGGTATGAAAGCTGATGTCGCTTCCCGACTCCCCACACCATGGAAGGGCATTTCTCGAGTAACCTAAAACAGAAATCGGATTAGTGTTGGTCTTAACGACCTGGGAGCTTGACCGCAGATCCCAAGGGACAACAGCTTGATGTCGGTCGCGCACGGTCTTTTTGTGGGAGGTTTTTAATGTTAGCTCTGTTCCTCAAAAAACCTTACCGCCGGAGATGGAAATCCGTGAGGTAAGTTGAGGTGTGACATTTTTATGGTCGACCTTTTCTGACCCCACCCCTCCTTGTAGGAAGGCAGCATCGCTGCAGATGCTGGTTGTCTGACGGAAACACCTTACTGCTGTCACAGCTCTCTACAGTCAGCAGTACGACTTCACCGTCAGACCTTGAGTTGCTGCTTTTAGTCTTACCGTACTCCAATCGACCTGGTAGAACGTACAGGAACATATGTTCCAGCCAATATAGCTCGGTTGGGTCATCACGATAGGCAAGTTCGAACGCCGCGTCAAGGTAGCAGCTACGGTCGCGGGAGTTTATTTTGGACATATATATAACTGCAGAATCTGATGAAAATTCATTGGAAAGAATTAATCATCTAAATATTTTCTTTATGATAGGTTACCTATACGAATATTCGTGAAGATAACACTCAGAAGACCGAAAAATCGTGCTAGTGGAAAAAGTGTTACGTAATAAAGTTGTAGCGTGGTGTCGAGTGGAGATTGACTATGAACACCGCTACCAAGAAGCTCGTACCAAATGACTCCATAAAATCCTCGAGAAGCCAAATATCAGAAGGCAATTAATGTACCAAATCGAGATATACTCGCTGGCGTTCTCGTGGCATCGAAAGGCTACCGAGATCGTCCCAGGATACAAGCTTGGTTATCATCTTTAATAAGACACTGTAGTTATTGTTTTAACTTTAACCCTCAACAAATGAACACTACTACACTAGTTAAAGTATAAACTAGAATAAAGAAATCTCAGTTCAGTATGTATCAACAATTCTCTTTATTTAATTAATCAAAATCAGCATAGATGTACAAAGAATAGGATTGTAATTCACGTTGTTAATAATCTGAAATACAAAGAAAATTAACAATTAAACGTTTTCTAAACAGATCACATTAAAATATTTATTTTTATTTATTTTAAAACATAGGTATCGGTACAAGGAGATACCAAATACATATGCGCCACACAAATCTCATTTGATGTGTGTGAGGGCTGTGATAATGCCCGGGTACCCAAACCGAAGCAGGTGGATTTCTTAGGAGGCCACACCCGTGGATTTCGGCCTGAAGGTCTGATCCATAAGACAGTGGAGCATCGTGAAGAGAAGCAGTCGCATGGTAGCCGGTGACCAACAATTGGTTGATACCCCATTTTTTCCTTTAGGATACTGGAGCCCATGTGCACCATTAGATTGGGATCAGGGTTTTCCAACTCCCCTAGGTGGACACTCCATGTCCACCAACCCGGTTAAAGCGCCGAACAATCGCTAAAATAACAAGAAATTTATTCACAAACATATGCTCAATCGATACTTAGGAAGCCTTTAAGTGACCTTTTTAGATTGTTTGCATCTTGGGATTAACCGGAAAACAAGAACGCTCATCATTCAAGAATCATTAGTGGAGCTTCGTTTCAAAGTTCTAATATCTACAGAAATTGAAATTCCAATTGCACAGCTATCAGAAATAATAAAACCCATGCAAAGACATTACAACAAGAAATAATTTGGTTGTTCATTCAATCGAACTGGGAAAAAACATCATGTAGATTCCTGATTAGCCAAACCATAACTCAAGCTTTTTAGAAACAAATATCGAAATCTCCCGAAAATATTAGATACCCCAATGATAAAACATTTATAGCTAACACTAAAAATCAGCCTATTCTAAATATACGCACATTTAATACAATAGTGAAAAAGAATTGAAATAGCACTCTATATCCATACTCGTTAAATTTATGAAGGAATATGTTGAAAATGAGCGAGAAACATAACATTGTGATATGTGTGTGATACTGATATCGATGATTATAAGTAGTATGTATCATCAACCGAAAGTGGAATTCCCGATGGTAGAAGGTTGAGAAAAGAGAAGAGAAGAGAACAAGGACAGAGAATGAGTGGTATGGAAACGAAGCAACAACAAAGTCTGAGACAATTGATAGATATTTTGTAAACGAAGTATTTACGGTATGGTTCTTTGACTACCAAGATATTTTGTAATGTTGTATTCAATTACATTTGGTTTTCCTCACTGGTGTTTTCGTTCACTACAACATAATTGATCATAAAGAACGTGTAGATTATTAACAATAAGGTCAACAAAATGTTATGATTGATAGATGTAAGAAGATACAACAATAAAGTGACAAAATAGATTCCTTGTATCATTGAAGAAGTAGAAGAAAGAAGACAATTGAGCAAAGGAAATTATCTTTTCAACGATTTCATTCACTTAAGTTATACAATAGTATTTACAGTTAATATTATTTACTGACATTGTAGACCATAGTAAAGTAGAACAGTGTTGAATATTGTAAACACAGGAAGTGATAACTTGTCATGAACTGTCAACGAAAACGAGATGTATTTAAAGTAATGTGATAACTGGTTAATGAATAGTAGTAACGTAAAAATAAGTGTCCATTTAATGACTATTAAGAAGAGAATGATTGAAAGTTGCAATAATGGCTAATTAATCGTTGTGAAAATAATTGAGACGGCGTAGAAGCAATATATTTTTTTTCTGAAAAAATATAGATTCTAGAAAATAAAAGGGAAAATTAAAACCATGGTAGAATAAGGGACTGAATATACTGCTTTGTACGCAAAGGTCAGGCTTGAACTAGTGAACAACAACAGATTTTGCTGTATATTAGGTTATTCAATTGCATTCCCCTTGAGCCGAATCTTCTGACTGTATGTATGATTTTGGAGGAAACTTCTGGTGAAGTGAAGTGACTAGAATTGACTAGATACTCCAAAATTGAACTTCTGACTAACTTTTTCAATCCTTTAGAAAGCCAGGAAGGGTCATGTTGAGTTATGTGTTTTGAAAAAGTTTGCTTTGCGAGGCCAATATAACCTGTTCCACATTAGCAAGTAAAGTGACAGACATACATTGATTTGGCTCAAAGTGAGAGCTTATCATTCACACAACTAAAAATCATAGGACCACTAGAAAGGATAATACAAAGTCAAACCGATTATGTTTTTCTCAGAGATCTCGAAAGTCTGTTTTTCAGAATTTCTGCTTCAGTATGTCCTTTAAACTGAATGTCCATGGTGAGTCTTGTCTGGTGCGGTGAACACTTTCACGTTGTTGTTCTGGATTCAGAGATTTTTTTTATGGATCTAGGTGGATATTCATTGTTGATCAGCACCTGGCTTAGTTTATCACGTTCGATATCAATTGCATTCTCGGACTCCGAAACAAAAAAATATATCGAAAATTGACTGAATTTACAAATATAAACTACTGGATTATAATTCAGTAGTCTAATGACATCGTGAACACTATACAACTTGAAGGTCATTCAGTTCGATAATATGTATGTCTATAATTGTTTTGAAAGCTCAGCAAACCCAATAATTCGACCGTTAGATACAGGAAACATGTATAGATCAGGGAAAGTTTATTAACTCGACACAGAGCAGTCATCGAGTGAATCCGAAAGTAGGACGTATCTAACAAGACAGTTTATATTTGTTGTAGCTTCACATGTCTGTCTCCAACCGTCGAAATATCACAAGACTGGACATATATGATAGCATGAGTGTTCCGTTAAGCGGAGAAGTGAATAAGCACTGTGGCTAATACCCAATGACCAATCTGGTGTAAACATATCTCAGTTCTACTAAAATTCGGTCTCGACTCGAACAGCTCAGTAATGACGCCTCCAAATGTGAACCTTGGCGACAACAGCTCGGGTCTGTCACGCAGTATCAGTTCCCTCAAGACTACAGGTCCATCCTTATGACAAAAGCAAAACAGCACGAAACCTGGGTACACGGTTTACTGTTGACTACCCCAAACCACCACCTTACATCACATGATACATGCGATATCGAATCACGTAAACTAGTGGCCACATTCCAGACCATTCGGTCGGCACTAAGAAGAATTCACATGCATGACGTTGGTCACTACTCAGTGATCAATCAATCGAAAATATCACTGTTAATGTTCTGACCTTAAGGTTATTATGCTTGCACAGAAGTGCATAAACACAATCCCATTATTATTAACTTTTCCAGGTAAAGTTACACTTCCTATCAATGTTATCTTATTTATTTATTTGTTTCAACACATAAATATCGGTACAAGAGGGAACCAAATATATATGCGCCACACCATATTTGTGTGTGTGGGCTGTGATACTGCCCGGGTGCCCAGACCGAAGCAGGTGGTTTACTTGAAGGGCCACACTCCGAGTCTTTAACCTAAAGGTCTGATCCACAAGGCAGTGAAGCATCGTATGGAGATGCAGTCCCATGGTAGCCGGTGACCAACGATTGGTTCATACGCCATTTGTTCCTGTAGGATACTGGAGCCCATGTGCATTATTGATTTGGTTTGGAATCCGGTTAAAGCGCCAGACATTCGCTTTTCGTTCTCTCATTTTCGTAAACAACACCCCCGCCACGAGAAGGCAGTGAGTAGGACTTCCTTGGCAGAGGCTGCATACGCGTGGCCGTGTGAGAGCATTTCGAGATGGAGGGCAGGCCCACTTCACTCACGGCCATACCAGGGCATTTGGAGGCTGTTATCTTAAAAAGATTGTGACTAATTATGAAGACCTTTTAGCATCCAAAAATTTAGTGTTTCTTATTTACGATTACGACCGAAGTTTTTAAAAGAGAACCAACTCTCAAAAAGTCACTAAATTATTACACTGTATTTAAGTTGTATTTAAGTTTTCGATTTACATAAATTAACTTTCTGAACAGTAATATTTTCCACTTGTTTACTCGTTTATCATAGTGATGAAAATAAATTACGAACTAGAGAAAATTTCACTCGAAATCTAGGCACAGTCAGTCAGTCAGTAACAACGTAGAACTTAGTACGTACGTACATCAGTTCGAGTTGCCACACCACCTTAACACAGAGATGCAGTTGTCGATCCAAATCCCGTAGTGGTAGAGGTAGCAAGAGTGTAAGCAGTGATCGGGAAGATTAGGGTTTGGAGATGTTATTTAAAGAGTATAATTCAGTGAAATAAATTTGGAAAGAGGAAAAAGGGACATGAAGAATTCAGAAGATTAGAATTTAGGAGAACACAAAGAGTGGATGCACCTGCGCCATTGCAAACGATTTTGAACCATATCATTCAAGGTCTCTAACCATCGGTTGCTATCATCTCGCGGTCCCCAACCAGGTAGTCTATACCTATCAACATGACTCAGACCACTTGTCAGTGATTTCATTGACTTGTGCCATGTTTTGTTCTAGCCACCCCTAGCTTTCTTCCAATCTACTCCTATACCACTGAACATCGCACGTCGAGGCAGTCGTTGGTGGGGCATACGTAACATGTGTCCCAGCCATCTCAACTGATCAGGTTTCACTACTTCATCAACTGATTTGCCATCCTTACCGAGTACCCGTTTCCTAACAACTGTGTTACTTACTCGATGGTCCCATGATATACGAGCAATGTTTCGAAGACACCTATGACCGAATACTAGTAACCTACGAATATCCTCTACTCTTACCGGCCATGTTTCACTGCCATAAAGTAGGATGGAACGAACTACTGCACAGTAAACCCGTCCTTTGGTTGATAAACGGATATCTCGCCTACGCCATAAATGACGCAAGTTGGCAAAAGCTAGTCGAGCCTTCTGTATCCGTGCTGAGATTTCGTCACACACCAAACCACAAGGGCACAACTAGCACTCGAAGTACTGACCTCAAAAAATAAAATCACGTTCTTTATTTACAACACCATTATGCAGACTGCCCCCCAGTTAAATAGATGTAGTGAAACTTTCAGGCTCCCCAAATGCCCTGGTACGACCGAGGGTAGGGAGAGTCAGCTCTCCCTCTCGAAATGCTCTCACATGCCCACGTGTATACAGCAACTTCCAAGGAAGTCCTATTCACCACCTCGCACCAGCGGTGTCGTTTACGAAATTGAGAAGACGAAAAGCGAATGTCTTGCGCTTTAATCGGGTTGATGGATACGGAGAGTTCATCTAGGGGAGTTGGAAAACCCTGATTCCAAACAAATAGCGTACATGGGATCCAGTATCTTGGAGGAACAAATGGCATATGAACCAATTGATGGTCACCAGCTACCATGGGACTGCATCTCCTGACGTTGCTCCACCACCTTGTGGATCAGACCTTCAGGTCGAAGGCTCTGGGTGTGACCCACTAATAAAACCACGTGGTTCGATTTGGGTACCCAAGCAGTATCACAGCCCACACTCAAATCAAGTGACTTGTGTGACGCATATGTATTTGTTGCCCCTTTGTACCAATATTTATGTGTTCAAATAAATAAATAAATAGTCAATCACAAAGAAGCCTCCAGTCTAGACTTGGCATTAGTTGGTGTTTAGCGGCAAGGTGTATCCACAATCTTTAAAGAGCTGATGATTTTCGTGGAAACCGAATTTGTATCACTATGATAGTTATAGAAGTTATCACTGAGTTATAAGTGTCTCTATTCAACAAGTTTATCTCTAATTAAAAATATCGACGTGCACCACCATGTCTGTTCACTTGAAATGGTGACCATATTGCAAGTGAATCAATTTACACTGAGCAGACGCGATATTGAGACTTATTTACATAATACACATAAAATATATTGCACCTGCCCACTCAAAACAGAATGCGCAACACAAAATAAAGAAATGACATTGTAAAGAAGGAGAATGTATAATAAAAGATAAATATCAGTTAGATATATTCAAGAAGAAGAATGTATTTGTAAAATCTCAGCGAAAGAATTTGAATTAAAATTCTTTAATGACTCACATTAACTCGGCGCCCAAATATTGTGAAACTATTCGTTCAAATTTAGACGAAAGTTCTTACTTAGTTAGATATATTGTAGTGAACGAGAACACGAGTGGGGACAATCGAATGTATTTGAACACAAAATTACAGAATATCTTAGTTAAATCTAAAAACCATACAGTAAATTCTTCATTTGCAAAATGTCAATCAATTGTCTCAAACTTGACTGTTTCTTCTGCCTCCAGGCATTTTACTTTCGAATGATTATACATACTACTTATATCTATCAACATCAGTAGCATACACCACAATATAACCAACAAAGATTTCTTTCAGTTAAACGATACTACACTTTTATGAAGAATGTAGAAAAATACTACGATGACGTCACTACTGGCTCATATTTTGAACCGTACCTGACGTTTTAAGGACCCCGACCTGAGAGTTATAACAGACCGACCTAATGCAAATTGCGAACTTCAGTATTACTAATATGGTGGTAACACAGGATATTAAAAATCTTCCAGGGTTAACGATGATATAATTAATTCACCGACATCCTTAGCTTATAAGAGCAAGGTTTCACAAGCGAAGCATTAGCTATTACCCAGTGATTAGTTGAGTGTAAACATCAAAACAAATATTTAGTCTTCCTGGAAATCAGTGAGAGCTTATTCCTTTTTCTATCTCTCACATTCTCTAGGATAAAAACTAACTAGTCAGTCAGTCAGTAACAACGTAGAACTTAGTACGTACGTACATCAGTTCGAGTTACCATACCACATTAGCACAGAGATGCAGTGGTCGATTCAAATCCTGTAGTGCTAGATGTAGTAAAATTATAAGCTGTAATCAGAAAAATTAGGGTTTGAAGATATATTCAAAGAGTATAATCCAGTGAAATAAATTTGGAAAGAGGAAAAAGGGACATGAAGAATTCAGAAGATTAGAATTTAGGAGAACACAAAGAGTGGATGCACCTGCGACATTGCAAACGATTTTGAGCCATGTCATTCAAGGTCTCTAACCATCGGTTGCTATCATCTCGCGGATCCCAATCAGGTAGTCTACACCTACCAAGATGGCTCAGACCACTTGTCAGTGATTTCATGGACTTGTGCCATGTTTTGTTCTAGCCACCCCTAGCTTTCTTCCAATCTACTCTTATACCACTGAACATCACACGTCGAGGCAGTCGTTGGTGGGGCATACGTAACATGTGTCCCAGCCATCTCAACTGATCAGGTTTCACTACTTCATCAATTGATTTGCCATCCTTACCGAGTACCCGTTTCCTAACAACTGCGTTGCTTACTCGATAGTCCTAGGATATACGAGCAATGTTTTGAAGACACCTATGATCAAATACTAGTAACCTACGAATATTCTCTACTCTTATCAGCCATGTTTCACAGACGTAAAGTAAGACGAAATGAACTGCTGCGCAGTAAACACGTCCTTTGGTTGATAAACGGATATCTCGCCTACGCCATAAATGACGCAAGTTGGCAAAAGCTAGTCGACTCTTCTGTATCCGTGCTGAGATTTCGTCACACACCAAACCACAAGGGCTGATGAGACTTCCAAGATAAGTGAAGCGGTCGACACGCTCAACCACTTCACTCCCTATCATTGGTTCGGGTGTAAATGCAACCCAATCCTGAAGCAACATTTTACATTTCGAGGGGGAGAATCGCATGCCGAACATACTTGCATTGTTGCTTAGAGTGGTCAGAAGACTCTGCATTTTGTCAGCGTCTTCATCAAATAGAACTATGTCATCGGCATATTCTAGATCAGAAAATGAAACTAACTAACATTCATACCAGTGTTATTTCGTTGATTTGTGAAAAGCACATGCACAAATATTATTTCAAGCTAAAAAAGCAATACATTAAAAATAGTTATGAATAGCATAAGAATCTAGTTATCTACACAACAACAAAAATATTAAAATTATTAAACTAACTTGTCTAAACTATGTATTTGATCTAATTTTTTCTTAAATACCATTTTAGGTTTAGTCAATTGTAATGGAGGTGCCATAACAACTTCATTGAATTTCACTTTATCTGCATATTTATTATTGATAAAGAAATAGAAGTGATGAATACAAACCTTGTAAGTGTTCAAACCCTGTTAAACGTTTTTCAATAGTACGTAAACGTTTTTTTTTACGTTTATCATTTAAACGTCTTTAAAATTTTTAAAAAAAAAGGAAATAATGTTAAATTAAATGCTAAAGTTTACTTTACAGCTTTACGCTTCTTTTTACTTTGCTTAACTTCTGTAATAGGAATAAGTTCAGTCTAAATTAATGTTATTAAAATATAAAAAAAGCATATATAATAATATTACTCGTTGTTTCTTGGAGAATTCCACCTTATTTAATTCATCTTCAACTTCTTTATGAAGTCGTCCCAAATAATGAGCATCTGATTCATGTTTACCTTGTTTCAAGACAGGAACTGGATCATCTTTTTTCTTCATACCTTTAGTATCACCAACAGCTGTATTGTAATGAAATAAACTATATACGAAACAAATAGATATTGTATACCTGGATCAAATAGAGTTTTCCGTTTACCCTCTTTCATAAGTAACATTTGTTTAAAACTTGCTGGAACATAATCTTCATCATTAAATTTAGGTGGACGATTGTATATTTCTGATAAATAGACAATTAACAAATGCACATATAGAAAGATAGTAGGATTGCAATGAAATACAAAGAAAAAAAGTAGAACATACCTAAATTTGAATTATTTGCGCCAATATTTTTTAACTTTTTATGTTTTTTTGTTTTTAATCGACGAGTATATTGAACAGGAGTTTTACTGTTTACACGTGATTGAACCACTTCTTTGTACCTTTTACGACGACTAGAATGCTGGCGAACTTAAAGATTTGGAAAGAGCAAATGAATTGATCAATTATAATTACAAAATAATACCTTTATTTTTACTCATTTCTCTTTTTCAATTTCACACACAATTCACGGATACTTCATTATTAATTCAAGCAAGAAACGTCTGTAACTATCATTTGAAAAAAGATTACTAGTTAGTCAATGAATCCTGAATTTTCAAATTAATCAGTGGTTAAAAAAGAGCACAGAATAAATTCCCATCAATCAAAGTTGTTAATACACTTTCAATCAATAGTTTAAAATAAAAAGACGAAGAAAAACTGGGTAAAAGAGAGAATGTAGAATATCTAAATTTAAACAAAAGAAAGAGACCTAGGGGAAAACTATTTATTTATTTATTTATTTTGACACGTAGATATTGGTATAAAAAGGCACTAAATACATATGCGCCACACAAATCTTATTTGATATATATGAGGGCTGTGATACTGCCCGAGTACTCAAACCGAAGCAGGTGGTTTTCTTAGGAGACAAAACCCGGAGCCTTCGACCTGAAGGTCTGATCCACAAGGCGGTGGCGCATCGTAAGGAGTTGCAGTCCCATGGTAGCCGGTGACCAAAGATTGGTTCATACGCCATTTGTTCCTTCAAGATACTGGAGCCCATGTGCACTATTGGTTTAGAATCAGGGTTTTCCAACTATTTAAACTCGAAACTTATGAGCAGATAGAGGACGAATACATCTGTGCAACTGCTGTAGATTTCCAGACATGTCATCTAAGGTCTTCAATTATAGATGACAATAATCTTACGAGCCTCAGGTAGTCAATACAACCCAACATGGCGAAGTTCAACCGAACAAATCAAGGGCATATCTGATCACCTTTACTCATATGCTAGTTAGATCATAACGTCAAAGTAAATGGTGGCTGCTCATCAATATTATGTTTCAAACCATACCAATGAAGGTTCATAGCTTAGCATAGCTAAATGAAATTTTTATTTATTTATTTTTAACACATAGATATTGGTACAATGAGGCACCAAATAGATATGCGCCACACAAATTTCATTCGATATGTGTGAGGGCTGTGATATTGCCCGGGTGCCCAAACCGAACCACGTGGTGTTCTAAGGGGCCACTCCCCGAGCCTTCGACCTAAAGGTCTGATCCACGAGGCAGTGGAGCATCGTGAGGAGATGCAGTCCCATGGAAGCCGGTGAACGACGATTGGTTCATACGCCATTTGTTCCTTCAGGATACTGGAGCCAATGTGCACCATTGGTTTGGAAGCCGGTTAAAGCGCCAGACATTCGCTTTTCGCCCTCTCATTTTCGTAAACAACACCCCCGCCACGAGAAGGCAGTGAGTAGGACTTCCCTAGCAGAGGCTATATAGGCGTGGCCATGTGAGAGCATTTCGAGAGGGAGAGCGGACTCTCCCCACCCTCGGCCGTACCAGGGCATTTGGGGGCTAGCTAAATGAAAAGCTGTACATAGTCTCAACATTACTTATTCGATGATTCTTACTTTTAAAAAGACATACAGGGTTAAACTAAAGGTTCGGTATGAAATAGCAAGTCACTGAATATTACATAAATAACTCCCTTCGGTTCTGTCCAAAGTAAAAGTTACTGATTAATTTTTGAAGCATAAAGACTCCGAATTAATAACAAGTAGAACCAGACTAGAGAGATCACCGTGGAGCTGGTTACTTAAAGGTATTAATTTGGTGTCAAACGTTCAACCAGTTACTATTTAGAGTGGTCTATTAACATATTTAGTGCCCACAACGAATGCAATCCAAAACTTGTAAACAGTTATTGAATTGTACTAGTTTATCAGTAACTCCAGAATAATGGTTTTTATGTCTATATTATAAATAAAACTATTTGTATTAAACCTGGATTCGTTGTTCCGCTAACTTTAGTATGAAGTGCAGTTTCTTCAAGTAGAGTTAGAAGTGTATTTAGGTCAATCAGTTGTAAATCCATTACAGTGATTATAAATTATGATTGACTATTTGTCACTGAATAAAAACAGTGAAAAAGTATTAAAAATTCGTAGATTAATGTAGTGAAAATATTTCGAAAGTTGACTTTATATCCACCTTCACCTAATTTTGAAATCTATATTGATTTTCATCGTCAGAGGTTATATTTCGGAATTCCACATCCCTAACAGGATCGATCATATTTGCATCACTAAAAAACTTAGGTCAATGGAAGACGTGAAAACCAGGAGAGAAGCTAACAGCTTCAGATCACCACTTGGTTGTGGCTAAGATGAAAATGAAGCTAAAGAAGAACTGGACAACTGGACAAACAGCAATACAAACGTTCAATACAGCCTTCCTTTGAGATACTGACAAACTCAATGAAGTGGGGAAACAGCAGGACCTGACAATATACCAGCTGAAGCACTGAAATCAGACACAGAAGTAACTGTACAGATTCTCTACGAAATATTCAGGAAGATATGGGGGGTAGGTGCCAACAGACTAGGAAGAAGGATACCTCATCAAGATACCAAAGAAAGGATACCTGAGTAAATGTAGGAAATATAAAGGAATCACACTATTATCGGTACCAGGAAAAGTTTTCAACAGTGCTGCTGAACCGGATGAAAGGTTCAGTAGACGTCCAGCTGACAGTTCAAACAAAAAACTTAATTTTAAAGTACCTATTGCCTTCACCACGAAATATGACTTGTTACTTAGAAACTTACACAAGCTTCTTGGGATTGGAATCTGAGTCTGCACCGGTCACAATTAAATATACCTGAAGCCAATAAATATAAAAAGATGATGTCGAAAATGGGAAAAAAACCTCATTGTTAGGGGGAGACAGGTGAACCCAAACCACTGAGCATAGACCAAATAAGTATCTAACAGAGTTGATTGTCTCTAATACCGACTATAATACCACCTATCTTACTCTGCTGAACAAGGTGCCAAAGCTAGAAAATGTGATTGTCACAGAAAACTTTCAGGCCACTGACATTTCAGGAATGTGGACAGCATCAGAAATAAATGATAGCAAAATTTAAGGGGTCGCTTTTTCTGTTTTGTAGGACATACCAAAACGTGAAGGTAGTGTCACTTTGCACCTGAAGATCTTAAACGCACAAGCTGTAGAAAGTGGTACACAACTCAGAAACATGTGAATCGGTATGTCATGGGGTGAAATGTATGGAAGAAGACATGGAACACGATGTAGCATGCTGGAGCTCGTAATGTAAGTGGAATTATCTCCTCCTTAATAAAATACAATCCTGGCTAAACAAATAGAGGAGTCTTAGAGCGGACGACTTCAATGCATCCCCTATCAACTGGCTTAACTTAGAGGCAGAATCATCAATGCATTAGTTCGGTCACGTACCGTTGGAATTCCAAATCATAGGCTCTTGTCCAGCACACTGAAAATCCCATAGACTTGACCACCGACATACAGTTGCAGCTAGGTTTAACACTGTATGGGCTCTAAGTTGAATACAACTACGTTTGCTATAGTAAGCACAACCTTTGAGGCTCAAACTTGAAAAATGAATTCTGGCTGGTTAACCAGATTTGTGTTTTGAGAACGAATACGTTAGACACCAATTACCTCATCAACTTATCAATTCTTAGAACCTATTATTGTGAGAATTGGTGTCGGTCCTTTATTCGACTCACTTAGATAAATATAAAACAAACATAAAAGCATAACATTTAAGACATAACTATCCTTTCGCCTAATGTACGCACTGTACAAATCTGTATCTGGAGTCAACTTAACAATAAAACTGACACATTGAGCAGGTTTTTCGATATAATTCTAAGTATAAAACGTTGGATCAAACAAAAACATGTGACACATCAGAAAGCAGCAAAACACGCCTATTTGTTGCGTTATTTTTTGACTGACGCGCAATCCAAAATGAATCAAAAGGTTTTAGACTGAACAGAAGAAGCTTTCACTCAACGGGCCCTCGTATCAAGAAGTGAACAAACGGTTCCTTGGGGTAGGAATCAAGATACATCAAACGATTTGATGGAGAATATCAGTAAACTATTGTTAGATACTGTCCTTAGTCCCTAAGAATATCAGTTTCAGTTTAAATTTGGTAAGGACAGGAGGCTAGGCGGCCTGTGTTAGTCATGGCAAGGGTGTCCTCTCATTTGATCAAAGTTTCTTCCAAAATAGTCGACAGATGATGATCCAATCACGTGTTGAGTTAATGGATCCCACTCGTTGATAATTCGATAGGAAAGTCGAGTCAGCTGACAGGTAGTTTTTCTATGCTCGTGAAAGACAAGAAGAATGTGGACATGTCAGATACAAATTTATCACTAAGTAATTTTGAAACTGCTGTCAAGTTGCATCTGGTTCTTCAGTATGACACTGGGAATAAGTTTAGTTTAGCCAGTCGAGCATCGTACGGAAGCTTCGCTATTCCGGGGATCAGTTTGGATTCTGTTCCCTGAACCTTTTCCAAAAGCTCACTGCTTTTTTTAAGCGGGGGTTAGCCACTTGTATACATTGCTCGAGTTAAAGGACGCACTAATACTACATACAAAGTCAAAAACTTTTTAGCGTCGACTTGAATAATGGCTATACGTATTGACCATAAGGTTCTAAAAACTTTGGCTACTATTGCACAGCACTGTGCGGCAGTTTTCAAGCCTAACGATGGCTAACGATGAATTCTAAGTCATTGTGAGTCTAGACAACAGGTTATTTAGTGTTGTTTACCGTGTATGTATCTGTACCTTGATAACCGATATGCATCACAATACACTTGAAAGTAACAATCGACAATTGCCAAGTTTGAAACCATTCAAATAATTCCTCCAGGTTATTTTGAAGTTCCAAGCTACCACCTTTACTTCTTATTGCCCTCCATATCTTGGCAACGTCAGCATATAGCAAGACTGATGATGGTAGTAGACGAGGAAGGTCATTTACATATAAGAGGAATAACACTGACCCCGAAATTGTACTCTGAAGAAGTCAAGCAACCACAGTTTCCCAGCTAGACGACTTGGAGTTCACCCGTACTCTTTGTTAAAACCCAACTTGGAAATATCATATCCATATCAATAGATTGCCCCAAACACCGATATTTCTTAACTTACATAACAGCCGGTTGTGAGGATCTTTGTCAAAAGCTTTGCTGAAGTCAATCTAGGCTACGTCTACACGTAACTTTTAGTCTTTAGGAGCGCGCCGGCTTTCACGAGCTACTAATAACTTAGTGAAACCGGAATAGTATATTCTAAAGCCTTGCTGTCTTCCTGAAAGGAACGAATTTCATCGAGATACGTAAACAGCTACTTCTGTCAAGTTTTCTCTTAAATTGCGTCGACTACCTCGGCTGCTCTTCTGTAGAGAGGTTTACGATGTGTTTTGGTCTTTATATAAATTTGGCTTTATTCATGTGTGGAAGAAAGGCATATCTTTTACGTGAACAGTTTGGGTCGGGTGTTCGAGAATTAGGAAGCATGTGTGTATCGCATAGATACTCAATTGCATTTGTCTTTTTGAATCTTTTCCTCAATGTAACAAAGTTCCGTGATAATGACTTAAAGGTGCCAAATGTATTCGAAGTTTGACAACACCTTAACCAGTAACACGTTTCGTATTCGAAATTTGCCAGCCCAGCCATATCAGGAGGGGCGATTCCATTAAAACTAATGCAATCAGCATCAAAAATCGAAGACTTACAGAGCTATTAAGTTTAGGGATTTATTTACCGCTACAAAGTCATAGGTAAACACTTAGAACAGTTCTGTTAGATTCCAGAGTCATGTTATAAATCGTAGAATGAAGCTTCAGAAGTGGATATGTTATATTGACTGTAGAACGCCAACGCACCCAAACTATCAAAAGGGGCATTACACCGGTAGCTCTTGTTGTTGGATTTTGAAGATTTCTTCACCGCTGCGGGATTTTTTGATCCTCGAAGGCCGATGTACTGAGAGGCTTATTCATTTGTTAGGTTATTTTGGATGAATACACGGTTCATGTGCATTTGTTGTGAAATTCTGAATGGGACATCATGTTGGAATGCACTTTCGTCAAAAATACGCAGGTTTATAACTTCGCCATCTGTTGATATTCAGTATTAAAGAAGATTTCGTCTATTCGTTGTCAATCAGCTAAACTTTTTTGTGGGAGTACGATCTTTTTCAAACTTCTTGTACAGTTTCGAGATCTTTATACCTAGTTCAGTTGACTCAATATATCTTCCCATTTCTTGAGGTAGTACTTTGACGGCCGTGGCAAACTGTGTAAGTGGTTCAACCACACGTGCTTGCTAAAGTTAGCCTCTAGATAACAATTCCAGGCTTCTGAACTATCGATGGGGATTGCAGAAGTCAAAATTCAGAATATTTTGAAGCATTTTGAACTTGATGAGCAATAAGCATGCAAAACTGTCATGAGAAGGTATATATTCAAATTCTAAAACAAGGAACATATTAAAAAATGATTTTTCAGTATCTTTTCATATTACGGGGGATCACATTGAAATTGATTCATATGCGGTGGACTTTGATAACACTTAAACTTCTTTTATACAGTTTAACCGGAATAAGTGAAGTGAAAGTCAGTGTTCACTGAATAGGAAAATATACCTGTGGTATAGACAAGGGTATCATGGACTATTCCTTCCAAACTACATGAATGTCGATGGAGATGCGCCTGCAACCAGTTCAAAAGTGATTGGATGCGAATGATTGCCAGTACACTATCTGCTAGTGGTATTACAAGAAAGACAAACATGGTTATCACTGATGTTAAAGGCGTGCAAAACTATGTAGCGTGGCGTCGAGTCGAGATTGACTATGAACACCGCTACCAAAAAGCTCGTTCCAAATGACTCCATAAAAACCCCGAGAAGCCAAATATCAGAAGGCAGAAAATGGACCAAGTCAAGATTTATTCACTGGCGATCTCGTGGTATCGAAGGGATACCGAGATCGTGCCAGGTTACAAGCTTGGTTACAGAAGGTAACCGAATTCGCGCGAAATTACAATCGAAGTGTAAGAACAAGAATGGAAGCCCAATATAGCTGTCATTAGCACAGTCAAACAAAAGCACTTTAAAACAAACACTGGTACAACTGTTTATAATAATAATTGTTTTTATTAAATCAGTCGTGTTCTCGTGACAAATGTAAGTCACTACAGGAGCTCTCCGCTAGAAAGGGTTTACAGTTTAGATAAATAGCGGTTTAAATCGTGGGACTAATCGGCTGACGAGCGATTGTAGGACGAACGGATTGGCGAACAGGAAAGCGATCGTTGATCGTCGAGTTGCCAACGAAGGTCGTTTTCGGAGAACGGTACCAGGAGCGATGTGCTGTACTTGTTGCTTGAGTTCACATGCTACACGAGTGGTTTGTATCCAGAATCTGAAGATTGCGTTCGTAGGAAATGCGGACCAGAAACGCTGCAGACGTAGGACGAAACCACGTTGAGTCAAAAAACCAAAAGCCACCGCAACGACCAGGTTCAAGACCAAGCGTGTGCCAAACATTTAAACCAATATATCGACTGAGTGCGTTGACAAGAGCGTGGGTGATCAGTTCAGCTTTCGCCAAAGTTGACTGAAGTCGACGGAACCAAACGGAGATGGTCGAACGCGTGGGCTCAGTAAACAAAAAAATCAAAAAAGAGAATAGTGTAGCATGCGTGTAGCATAGGAATAGTCCTACACCGTATCGGTTGTTGACTGTGCGGCTAGTCACGAAAGCGTACGAGCAACCGTACTCGGTGACCGGAACGTGAGACGATAGTCTCGTTCGCGTCGCGTGGGCCTGCAATCTCATCCAAAGTCAAGGGCGGCGTGGTCTACTGATCTGGACGTGAGACTGTTGTCTCGTCCGTAGATAGTGCAGATGACACGTGCTGTTGACCGGGACGTGAGAATGAGGTCTTGGACGTATCTAGCGTGGGATCTGAAGAAGATTTAAGGATCCCGCTAGGTTTGATAGATTTAGCATTGAATCTCAGGGTATCGGATAGGGCACTGTCATCGACTTGTGCTGGTTTGAGATGATCAATGCTGACGATCTCGACGCGTCCATATCGATCAACCTTGAAGGTCTTTTCGTGACGAGCGATCACGTGAAAAGAGCCTTCGTAAGGTTGTTGCCAAGGTTTGCGTACCGAATCTACTCGTAAGAAAACATGTGAACAGGCAGATGACTTTCGAGGGAGAGCGACCTGTCGATGTTGTATTCGAGTTGACACCGGAGACAGCGTTCGCATAAATGCAGACAGTCGATGGACGTAGTCTGATTTACCGAAATCAGGTCTGCCCCGTGGTGTGAAGGATTCTCCGGGCAGACGCAATGTCGTGCCGTATACAAGTTCAGCGGCGGAACATTGGATATCTGCCTTTAAGCTCGTTCCGATCACTAAAATAACGAGCGGTAAGGTTTCGTGCCAGTTGCCGTTTTCGTGTGCTCGTAGAGCCCTTTTAAGTTGGCAGTGAAACAATTCAACTTAACCATTTAGTGCTGGGTGGTAGACGGATATGCTTAAGCGTATGCATTCCGTACCAAGCAGCCGGGTCAGCGAGGAGAATCGAATAAAGCGTGGGATTTACCGTCACGCGAATACAAGGTGACAAGGATTCGGTACACATACGTGGGAGTCTATTATATTAATACTATTCTTATCGTTATCCGTCATGTCACGTATATTATATATTAAAAGATAATATGAAAATATACGACAGACGTGGATAGATAAACAATAGACTCACCAAATTGGCTTCTTTGGAAGGTTTGACCAGAGGTTTAGGCGTGTTCCAAAATTCGTTTCAACAGTTGTCGCGTGTTCCAAACTTTGGTATCACCAATTGTAGCGTGGTGTCGAGTCGAGATTGACTATGAACACCGCTACCAAAAAGCTCGTTCCAAATGACTCCATAAAAACCCCGAGAAGCCAAATATCAGAAGGCAGAAAATGGACCAAGTCAAGATTTATTCACT